TTCCCTCCATGCTGCATGAGTAAAGGAATTTGATTCATCACACTGGGTTTGTAATTCTTCAGAGAACTAGCAACTCTCCAGATTATGGAAGAATACCCCTACATGTCTGAAGGCATTTTTTGTTTATTGGCCTTGTGAGTGCAGACATCAGCTGATGACTATTATCTCAAAAGAACTGAAAAATCACACAATCTTGAGAGTTGGTGAGGGAGAAGAAACCTTACGAAACGCTGAAAAACAAGTTTTTTCTTTCTCAATCTATTGGTTAAAAACCACACATTTCATCTTTTCAAACAGCAATGATGTATGTGTTTATTTGCATGTAGAGCAGGGGAGTGAGATTGGATCACAAGTGACTGTGGTACAACCTCCTCTACTGCCCTGCACTGTGAGTGGCTCACAAGGCCCAGCAGGGGAGACGCACTGTGGTGCGAGTAGGAAGCACACTTTTACTCTCTCTGTCATTAATTACTTTCTTCATCACCTGTGATTGAGAAAGTAAAAGTGTGTGTCCTGCTTATATAGTAATGAAATCCTAACTGCTGACAGTGCAGGTAAACGTGCGACTTAGATTGATTTAGAAGCTAAACTGAAAAAAACAAGTAACACATTTTTCAATGTTTTTATTGAACAGCCAAGTGGACAGTCGTAATGGACATTCAGCTGATCAGTCAAGATGCATTTATTAATGCCTGGTCTAAACAGGGCCTTGGTGTCTGCAACATCCACACATCCACTCTACTCGCTTTTCGTGGTGCATGTCTCTGACTCTCTAGCTGCAAGCAATCCTTTCAAAGTTCTGCTGTGTGTTGTGTTCAGGTCCTGAGCAGTAAGATGCTGGAACAGGACACCCGCTACCGTCAGCTGAGCCAGGAACAACTGGATAACTTCACTCTGGATATGAACACTGCCTACGCAAGACTGAAGGGAATGGAGGAGGCCATAGACAGTAAGATACACATAGACATACACATATACACACCACTTTCTGAAAAAAGGCTAGAAATACTGAGACCATTTGATATTGTCAGACCCATACATGTTGAAAACGTAACTGCAGCCAATCTGACTTCTGGTGACAACATGTGCTCTCTCCTGTGCTGTTTTGTGGTTTAATGTTCAACAGTGCATCATATTTTACAATCTCAAGTTTTACAAACTGTAGTAAAGTGCAGTCAGTTTGCTGGAGACCACTCCACTGAGACTGCAGCTGGCTTGGGTGAGAACAGCCAAACATGCCACCAATGTGAGTGTCTCATAAGTACCCACCTGAATGAAACGCTGCATCATTAAACAAGGAGACGTAAAACTAGGGTTAAATGTGTCAATACTACACCTACTGGTAAATTATATGACTGTCTGTGAGCAAGTACTGTCCTGTATTGTCTAGAAAAAGTCTTGGAAAATGTTCTGGAAAGCTAAAATTGTTTATTAAAAAGAGTGGGAAGAGAGGGAAAATTAAATGACAAAACAGCCAAAAAAAAGAACTAACTGGCGATGGACGAAATGCAGATAGCTATGATATGCATGTCTGAGTGCCCAACCTTAGTGTTGTCACAAATATAATGCACCATATCCCGACTTTAAATACACTGTGTGCATGCTGTCTAGAGGGCAGCTGTGGCTCTGAGGTAGAGCCATCGCTGTGTGAATGTGTGAGTAAAGGCGAATGTGGCATGTAGTGTAAAAGTGCTTTGAGTGGTCAGAAGCGCTATACAAGTACAGTCCATTTACCTTCTATGGCTTTGTTGTTCTTTGGGTTAAAATGTTGAAGTATCTAAAGGTATAATAGGAGCTTTGAAAACATTTTGATGTTCTTCGTGTTTCATTAAACCACATCACTTAAACACCTTCTTGTCTCTTGAATGCAGGCCATGTGGTAGCGGAGGAGGAGGCCCGTAAAGCTCACCAGCTCTGGCTCTCTGTGGAGGCTCTCAACTACACTTTAAAGACGGCTAACGCTGACATCCCCACCGTGCCTCTAGAGGGTGCTGCTCAGGCCGTGCGAGACAGCTGCCATGACAGCGACTTTGCCTTGGCTCTATCATCAGCTCTTCCAGAGGAATCCCTGCAACGCGGTGTGTACAGCGAGGCCTCTCTCCGTGCTCGCTTCAACTCCCTACGATCACTCGCACGCCGGGTCGCCCTTATTGACGAATCTCACAACTCCTTGTACCAGTATTTCTTGTCCTACCTTCAAGCTGCCCTGCTGTTTGAGGAGAAACAGGAAGCACCACCTGCCCAGCTGTGCAGTGAGGATTTAGACCCATTCAAGCTTCTGTCATATGCAAGCTACTGCTTAGAGCATGGGGATCTGGAGTTAGCAGCTAAACTGGTGAACCAGTTGAGAGGAGAGGCCAGGAGAGTGGTGGAGGACTGGCTGACTGAAGCCAGACTCACACTGGAAACCAGGCAGGTAGTCAGTTTGCTGTCTGCATATGCTAATGCTGTGGGGTTAGGAACCACCCAGGCTCCATAGGCTGCCACTCTCATTTACCCTGGCAGTCCTTAAAGGAACAATACACTGAAAATCTAGAGTATCCAGTAGTCTCCCACTGTAGAAGCTGTAGCTTACATCTTTGTGGGAAGGCAGCTGTAGTCAGTTTGGATTCACAACAACTAGGGCGGAGTGTTCAATACTCAGATACCCACTTTTCAGTGTCATATTCCATTAAGTTAAGTGAAGTTAATCAAGTGATGGATGTTAAGACGCAACATAAATTAATTTTCCTTAAAGTCACTGCGGACAATTATTTGTAAAATATGATTGATGCACCCACTTGATCTAGTCTTGTCAATTCAGCCCCACAAATTTGTTTTAGGTATTTATTCCTATTTTCCCAAGTGTTATGGGAAATCAGTACTAACATTGATAAAAGAATTTGTCATGCTGCATTTTATTTTTGTCAATACTGCACGTTACAATAAATCATGAATAAGAATGTTGTCTGTTGGATTTCTTCATTCCTCCCTCACATCTGTTATAAGTAGGTAAATAACAAAATATGCCTCTTTTAAGAGGCAGAAACCTTGGACAGACCCCTCTAGGTGGGTGGCAAGGTAATGACAGGACAGAGGTAACGACAGAAGGACAAAGACAGATGTTAAAAAAAAAAAATAAGTTGTGGTTATTTTTTAATTCCCAGTATATTGAATCGTAACCCCTGTATCTTGATATTGTGTTGCCAAACTCTGGATGGGGTCCAAGGGTCTGCATGTTCACTGTTAAGAAAATCTGTACATTGCAGGAATCTGCTATAGTGATACTAGTGTGATGGCTAATGAGCAATACTCAACATCATTATTTGGCACATGGCTGGAAACTTACACCACCACCAAACGAAGCAAGGTTTAATGTTTTAGGTGGGGCTCTTATTCATCCATCTATCCATCAAGGTATCAACAGAAAGAGTCGCACTAATATCTAAAGTTGACTACCTTTCTTGCATTCATGCTTTCTTCCTTCTCTTTTCTTTTTGGTGCCTGCCTCACACCTACACACACACACATGCACACACAATGAGAAACGGAGAAAATGTGTGCCACTGATTGAATTCAGACGCAACTTCAGTTTATTTGTGCATGTGCTGCATCTCCCCTCCACGACCCCACATGTGACTCATGAAATGAGTGAATGAATCAAAGACAAAATAAATGAGAGCCTGTGCTTGTGGAAGAAGACATTTTCCGACTTTACTGATGTGTTTTACTGTGTGTTAACACTGATACTGCTATGTATTTTGCAAGTTTGTTTATTGGAGTCTTCATTCACAGCCATTCTGATCATACATTAATGTTCGTTCTGGTTAGTGCATAGTAAACAGTTTATGCAAACATTGCTTCTCCAGTGCTGGTTAGCTTGTAATTGGGCAAGAACATTTCCAATGGTTTCCGAGTTTCTTTGGTCCATTGTGATAGCTGTAGAAGAAGAACGTGAGTAGTCCAACAGTAGAATCTGACCGAACAGAAGCTTTGTTCTGTAGTACTGAGAGTTTTGTTCCTAAACGTCATATCCTGGGAAGAAAGTGTGTCATGGTCATGGTGGGTGTGACCCGGTTGCCTCTCTTAGTTTTTCCAGTCTTGCTGAGGCCAATGTACATGCCAGGGTAGGCAGCTGATTCATAGGCATTGTAGTTGTTGGCCAGGAGATTCTCCTTGAACTTGCATTCGTCATTGTAGTGGCCCTGTGGATAGGAAAGGGTGAACAGAAAACAGTAATTTATCAAGTCACTACTAATCATTCTTTCTCTTCTCTTAAATGTGAGAAATGCCTGTTTTCCACTATTTGGATTTTGTGGGTGTTTGTAAAATGTGTCAAGCTACTTCCACTTTTGCTCGTGACAGACAAGAGTCCTAATTCACACTAGAGGTTTAAAATAGTTAGACATGATCTTTAAGGTGTGCAAAGCAACAAAATGCCGGATGCCGTTCTTGTTCATTCAGGTACTGATCATGTCGCCCCCAAATTGCCACAAAAGTGGCCTCGTGTATATCCCTGTGGTAGATAAAACAGCGCGGTCTACTCTTTAGGGCAGTCAGGACCCACACTAGGGGTCGCCAAAGCTTCACATTTAAAGGCAGAAAACTTTACGTGTTAGGCCTATATCTATCTATATATATACGTTTTTATGCATTAAAAAAGGTTACTCAGTTCAGTTGTTTTGAGTGCATATATTTGCAGATTATTTTACACATGTACAAATATCAGTATATAGTAGATATTTTTGTGATCTGTTTTGCTGCCACCATGACAAAAACTTCCTTCCTTGTCTCACAGTTTTTGTTTAGTTTTTTTGTTAAAACTAAATCATTTGGTATGTATTTATTTTGATTTCTGTTGGCTGTATGATTTTGAAAACTTGAGATGTACTTCAGGATGGGATCCTCTTTTTTTGTGAATTTTATTTGCAAAGCTTGGGAGAGGCAGAATATTTTATTTACCGAGCTGTAAAATAATCTCTAGTTTCAAAGAATGGCTTGGCATAGACATCCTAGCTGTACGTCATCAGGCTCAGGAGCTGACCTCATAATACTATATTGTATGCCAATATAGGAGGGAAACTCAGTGGCATGGCGGACTCCCCCACAGAGATATGGGAGGAGCTCCAGCCTAAGGTCAACCTAACTCCCCCCACCCAACTGAACCACCTACCTTTGTACATGCAGGACTGCTGTTAGATGATGACTAACTGTTGGATGACTAACTGGTGCTTAGCTTATGGCAGAGTTGGCCTCAGTATTCAAACGACTCTAACTAGAGCTGATCACCAAATCCAACATTATACCTATGGCTTATGGCCAAAAGTAAAAGACCTACAATTAACTGTGACATTAATTAATTAAATCAGACAGAAGCAGCAGACAGAGTGTATTCACCTCATCTGGATATCAGTAGTTGTGTTAAAATCACATTTTCAAGTTTCTGTATGTAAGTTTACTGATTGTTCTAAATGATTTAATTATAGGTTGTTTCTAAGTTAATTGTTAAATTAAATGAATGGTTATAAATTGTTTATTGTTTACTTCTAATAGTATATTTCAGTTCTTGGATCATGTCATCATAATTACAAGGAAATATCTCATAATTATGAGTTCAGGATCATAAAACTGGATTAGCGCCAGCAGTGTGCATATAGAAAAAGATTTTTTGGGGGTTGTCGGTGGAGTTAATTAATGGACTTTATCGGTTAACTTCCTTTCATTTTTTAATTACCCACTTGAAAACAATGAGGGTTTATCAAAATAATTGTGTAGAAACCAGTGACCCTCACCTGATACATTCCAGCATGGAGATGACCTCACACCATTATCAATATACTGGTTGTGTTTTTTTCTGGACAAACAACTGTGCAAAAATTCACACATCTTCATCAAATTGGCAAGCCCTGATCAGTTCTTACCGAACCATAGAGTTTCCCTTTGTCGCTCATGGCAATAAAAAGACCACTTCTCACCCCAAACAGAGTCACCACTCCTCTCTCCACTGGGGAAATTTCTAGAAGACCTGCGATAAAACATGAGAATGATCAGCAATAAATAGAATACAATTAAAAACGGAAAATTATAAAGGGAACGCCAATACCGCTTTACTATAATCACCTGAAGTGCTTTATAGTCCCAAAAATATTCGAACAGGAAAAGTGGGAAAGCACCTGAATAATTTATTTCCACTACAGAATATTATAATTTACTTTACAGCACTTAAAGTACCAGCTGAGCTAAGCACAAATCCATTAAAAACTTTCAAATCAGTCAAAGTAAGAGGCTACAGCACAAGGATATCTCAATATCCTTTTTTAGTCGTTGTCATCCGAAGGGATTGCTTTTTTATTTTTCAGGAAAAGGGCTCTAGAACAACAGGTTAGGAATTTCAGACCTTAATATTTTTTGATACACACATATTATGTACTGTTACATTATAGATTTAAAAAGAAAATAATTATCTGCTGTTTTTTCCTTGGTCCAGTATTTCCATTGTGCAAGTGACATTTTATAATGTATTGCTATGGGATAAAATGAGTAACCACTGGAGACTAATGACTAAATATAATATGATACAGAAATTCCTGTATCTCAAAAACTATAAGGAGTTCTATCAGATGTTTGGTACAGTTTGATTCAGTCTAAATCTGATAGTTTACATGTCAAATGAGTGTTATTTTTGTAATTTTTTAAATAAATTGTATATATTTAGAATCAAAACATTTGATTCTGTGATGTGTAGCCACATGTCTCAAGAGTTTCCACAGCAGATTTTGAGTTAACAACTCTAACAGAGTCTGTGAGGCTTTTCTTGCACATACTAAATATAGTCATTAGTCTCAGATTGCATAGGTGATGCACTTCCTGTGTGAATCTATGCATATTTATATTTGTCTTTAAAGGATATTTATTTGTCAGCCATTTAAACTGTTGCTCACACATACAGAAAAATTTGCAGAAGAAAGTGTAAACATTGCACTATTTCTCTGATAATTTTGGGAAGTACACAGAAAGTTTTTTTTATGGTTGGAACCTGACCTGTTCTCCTGATGCCTTCTTGTCGAAGGTTGCGTGCTTTCTGCAGCCCCACGTACAAAGACATTTAAATGGACATTGTCTATAGACAAATCTGGCAGTTGATTTATGTGCTGCACTCTCAAGCAATCATTACTGCGGTGGCGAAGTTAAACATATTTTCACACAAACAACATGATTTAAAATATAGTTTGTGGTGATTAAAATTAAAATTTCTAAATTACAAAACAATTACTTTTTACACATGATAAACATATCATGTTCACCATGGATACTATTCATTGTGTCATTACTTTATCTTTTTTAATATAGCTTTCTCTTCCAAATCCATATCCAACTCAACCTGTAGAATTCTCATTTTCATTTTATGCTCATGAAATTCTTTGTCTATTTTCATGCATGGTCACACTTTATTGTTCTCTCAGTTCATCAGATAGGCTGAAATGCATTGTCCTGAAATAAACTTTTGTGTAACTGGAATCAATTAATGTACAAATTCATTCATAAGTGTTACTTAAGTATATGATTTATACCATTATTATAAAATGTTAGCTCAAAGAGAAAACATACAAGATCGGCGGCCAAAGAATGATTGCAGGTTTACCCAGCTCTGTTTGGGTGGTTGGGACCATGAGAATTTTCTCCAATGATCTAATGTTATGGCTACTGGAGTAATATATTTTAAGACAATGGATATGTACTGCTGTAATTTACTCAGTAGCGCTTTTGCAATAACAAAATTTAACATATGGGTTTTTCTCTTCAAACACAGTAAAAAACATTGAACCATTCCATATAAGTTACACTGATGTGTACAGGCGCTCATACAAGTTACAAACTGCAAGGCATCATGATAAACTACATCAGGAAGATAAATGCATATCATTTACATCAGCCTAGTCTACTGACAGAAAGGGACTTTGGATTTCTAGCAGTTTAAGCAAACAGAGTTTTTTCGAGAAACTATCAATATGGACACTTTACATGCAGTTGAACAGGAATTTGCAAAATACTTACTGTATCTGTTTTCATTATGCACACCTGTGATCTTCCCATTTGGTAAGACCTGAATGTGGAAGCCGATGCCCACATTACAGTAAAGCCTTCTTAGTCTCTTTATCCCCAGCAGGTATTCTCCATCTTTAGCCATCACCTCCCTCTTGTCCCAGGAGCTGCCACTGGCCCAAACCACTGCGTTACGTATGGGTTGTCTCTTATTGCTGATGACTGGGAGAGGAGCAAAGAAGCTGCACAGGAGGACCCCATACAGAAGCAGAGGGAGCCTGGACCTTGACGATGACATCCTATGCCCGCCAATCCCAGGAATCAAAGAGGTACACAACTATTGTGAATTTATAAGGCCAATGGAATGTTCACTTAGTAGGAACAGAAATGGTCATTAAAAAAATACCAGCTTCAGTCTCTCTAGAGAAATAACATGAAGAAAATGCCTCAACTTTTGTTTTTAAAGCCCAGACAAAAATGTCAGTATGCATATTTAAACATCTCTAAAAAGTGAACCCATTAGGGGTCCCGTTTGCCAATGATTGGTCTCTTGTTCCCCAGTTTTGCTTCCTCCTCAGGTAGATCCAGCAGACAGACAGCAGACTTATATGTGCCCCATATTACATCACACACCACCTGCTGTCTTGTTTGTCTGTGAGTCACAGATGCTGTAGAAGCACACAAACTGAGAAATACATAAAACACATAGTGACAGAAAACAAAGAGGAACACGCAAGTACACATAAATACAGAGTAGTGAGTAATTAACTGGCTTTATTTAAAAGATTTGATAGAAAGACATAGAGCACCTTTGCTCTAGAAGTATCATTCACCGACCATTTCAAACTGGGTGTTAATTATATCTTCATTACTTACAAGGACTGCTAATAGATTGCGTACTAACTCACTCATAGTGACACACAGAATAATATTATACAATATATATACACTAACTTCCATTCCATATATTCAAGTTTCATTGTATGTGTGTATATTAAATGTTTAAATGAAACTTAGAAAAATGTGTAATGAAACTTTTAATATTTCCAGCAGCCTTGAAAGAATATACAGTACTGGAAGTAACAGAAATCTTTATATTTTGTTAGATCCATCTGTAGGCTACTTGTAGTTTTTAGACCACAGTCTGAGCTATAGCCTAAGAAATAGTGTATGCAGTGATCCCTGATGATGTTGAAGCAGAAGAAATCTCCCTACTTTTTCAGGAAGATGGACTTGATGAACAACTGAATAATCTTTTATTGTCACAAAGCTTAAAACAAGGTTGTAGTTTTATTATTTCATATAACTACCAGATAACTTCTGTTATGAACTGGTGCTATACAAATAAAACTGAATTGAATTGAATTAAAATATAGCGGTTATATTGTGGAGACACACGTTTTTTGTTGGTCAGCAGTGATATTAATTCAATAGCTGCTCCCTACAAACCCCATTGAGTTTTTCGGAATTCTGTATAAGATCAGCTTCATTATTCTTCTCCTAGGTTGGTTCTGTATTTTGTTATGGAATTTCAGACCATCATGAGGACAAGTAGAGGTAGGCTTATCTAAAACATTTTAAGGTCAAAGTATTAATATATAATCAATAAAGTATTGCTGATTCTGATTATCACTGATATTTGCATGTCAGTTTGATCGTTTCTATTCTTTGCTAACCAAACCTTATGAACACATTGGGACCATTCTACATGAACAGACTGCAGACAAAATTAGCACTGTCTACATGCATCTTCCATACAATTCAATAGAACTGGCACCAAAGTCTGCCACCAAACAGCATTAGAACCTTGGTGTTATGATATAATGACCCATCCTCCTTGAGGTCACCCTGGTAGTTGGCTTGATTCCAGAGCATTTTGCAACACAGATTTTGCACAGCTACTGGAAGATCAGCTTATCCTCTGTTGCGACAACTGATGAAGCCCTAGAGGGATAATGGCCACATAACTACCAGACAGAGGTGCTTTAACTAAAAGCTCTATTCAGCTTATGTGGCCATTGAGCTTGCTTCTGGCATCCTGAAATTCAAGTTCAGGAGGCACGGTATCAGTGCAACAGTCACAGCTTGTTGCATTCTTCACATAATTTATATAGAATAGGCTGTGGCTCAGGAGGTGGAGTGGGGCATCAACTAATCAGAAGTTTGGCAATGCGATCCCTGCCTCTTCCCGCTGCATGTCAAAGTGTCCTTGAGCAAGATACTGTACCCCAAATTGCCCCCGATGCTGTGATGTGAATGAGTTAGTTTTGTTTGTGATGGGCTTTGCCATCACTATGTGAATGTGGCATGTAGTGTAAAAGCTCTTTGAGTGGTTGAAAGACTAGAAAGGCGCTATACAAGTACAGGTCCATTTGCCATTAAACTCAGACATTGATGATCCTGACACACCACAGCCAAGCAACCAAGATTCATCTCATTATAGAGATATGATCTATGCCCACAATTAAACATAGGATACACCTTCACACTTCCTCTTTTATTTACACGTTTTTTTCTGCTGGTGTGCAGTATTGGAACAGGGTGATGTCAGGCACCTCGGGTCAAATGCCAAGTTTATCGTGGAAATGAAATACTACTACTTTGTAATATTAGATAAGGCTCTAAACTGGATATCAAAGACTGCAGCTGTGCCTCCAAGTAGAAGCTCAGGAAAAATCAGCAGAAGATTTCAGTGTATCAGTGGACCCCAGAGGCAGTGTGAATGAGAACCAAGTTTCTTAATGAGATGTATGAGCAAAGACAGACTTATATTGTTCAACATTTTTGTGTTGTTTTCTTTTAGTAACTCTATCTATCAACTTAAATAATTTCTTGTTACTGCTTCCCAGTTTCTTTTAACTGGGTAAATTGTTCGCCCTTGCATGTGGTCATTTTCTTTTCACATCTTCTCTCCGCTTTAATCTCCTCCACCTTGCCAATTCCAGCCTCACCAGTGACTCGAGCAGCTTTCATTTGCCACATTAGTGTATCTCATCTCGTATCTCATGTTTTTTGTTTAAAACTAAAGGTTGTTTTCCTATGCTTCAAGATCATTATCTGCACTCCTGCCAGCCTGTTCACAATGTAACACTGGGTATTCTTAGCATTAACTATAACTTGATAGGTACTGATTTAAAACTACCTTTGGGTCGTAGGTAAAGCAGAATTATTTATTAGTTACCATTAATTAATTTATGCCTGCCACTCAGCCTTCACTCTCTACCCTCCTCAGTTCAGCCATCCTCTATTTTCCCCTAACCCTCCACCATGTCTCTTCCTCTCATCCTCTATTTCCCATACTTTGCATTGAAGTCCTGTATTGGTCATCTCTTCACTGAGTCTTGTGTTCTGCAATTGGGTTCACCTGTTAGTCGTAACAGTTCACAGTTGAAGAGGTGCCCAGTGCTGCACTCCTCACTGCCCAGCCACCGAGTATTTCACAGTGATTGCTGATAATGCCATTCAAGAAAGTTAACCATTTACATTTTCTTCGCATTAATCTTTGAGGTGCTATACGCTCTCTTATGGTTATTGCTTTGTTTTGGTTTTGTTGAGATGTTTTTTGTTTTGTCTTTTTTTTTGTTAACTGGAAAAAAGTTTAAGTTTGCAGAAACATGTCATAAAACATGTCTCTGAAATAAGGTATCAAAGAAGTAATGTTTTGGTATTGGTGCCCATTCTTGGTTACTGTATTAGCAATGGTATTCAACATTTTCAGCTCACTTCAGCTAAGTTTTGCTATTGTTTTGCTTGTAAGACATCTGTGTGATTTTAGAATTACTTTGTGGAGAAGCAATAAAACAGTGTCTTAGAATAAAAGATAGAAAAGACAAAAAAACGTTTTAGTGGATTTCTTTACTGTGCTACGGCTCAGCAGATAGAGCCATTAATCAGAAGGTTGGCAGTTCAACCTTCCACTCCAGTGTCCAAGATACTGAACCCCAAATTGCTCCTGATGCTGTGCCATGTGGGATTGGGATTAGTTTCCATTTCTGATGAGCAGTTGGCACCTTGCATGGCATGGCTCTTGAAAGGTGGTGTATAAATCCAGTCAATTTAGGCACAGTGTTACTACAGCTTCTTTAGTTGTCTGCTGCTTTCATACACTACTAAAAGATTCAGCTCAAAGTCTGGTACATCCAGCTACATGTTGGTATTTCCCTGCTCTGCCCATTTATTATTATTATTTGGTATTTTAATGGCCTGGGAAGCATACAATGCAGCAGTGTAATGAAGGCATATTTAGATTTATGGGCGTTGAAAGTAGATATCTGAGGCTGCTTTTGACGCCTAGAAGAGAACAAGTTATATTGTAATAAATAGCACAGGGTATTTTGGAATAAGGAACATTTTAGAATATTGTTATTTCAATGGAGCACAGTTTTTTATCATTTATATTTTATTCATGATACACTGTTTCCTACAGTCAGAAAGCCCTTACTCCTCTATGTTAGTTCCGCTGCTGCTGCTGCTGCTGCTGCTGCTGCTGCTGGGAAGCATACAAGTAGTTCAAGCATAAAGACACATTGCAAACAATGTGATTCATACCAACAAATGGCAGCTTATCTGGTCTGCACATAATCCAGCAGCAGCGGAGGGTTGATATCATGTGACATGTGGTGCGTCAGAGCACTGCTCATGGAGGGCTCTTTGCAGGGCTCAGAAAGAGAGGAGAGACAGAGGCAATAATAGATCATGTGTGTACACATGCAAAGGACTAGTCCCCTCACCGGGAGAAATCCCCATAGTAGTTGTGACGTGGGTAACAGTTTATCAGCATTTTCTCTGACATCAGACCCTGTCGACAGAGTTTCCCCCAAGCCATGTGAGAGAAATTGTGGTCTAGAAAATCCTTATAATCTGGGTTCCCAGACAGCTTTTCGTGAAATTTATTACTAGATTTTCTCATTCACCACCTCCTGTGTGGCTGCAACTCAGTACCCTTATCACATTTGGCAAGTGGGGCCCTATGGCTCACCACTACTCAAGCAAGGGCCCACATGTATATTCCAGATGTTAGTGTATTTATTTACACAGACTTAAACAAGACAGATGCTTCTGCTTATCTGTCTTTGCCAGACTACAGTCTGATCAAAAATGTAGACAGAAATAAATGGTCAAAATGTTCATGTTGGATTTTTATTCATTCATTTTATTTATTTTTTAATTGATGCCAGAAACAATACTTAACACATATAGGCACAAAAGAGACATACACAAAGCAGTACAGACACAAGGGGAGTGCCAAGTGGGAGAGGTAGACAGTGCCAGTAGACAGTAGGGTAGTACCCTCTACATTAGAACAAATCATCAGCAGGCTCACACACAAAGAAGCCAGCAAATTATCATTGTACAGCAATTATGCATTAAGGATCTACTCATGCAGCATGGAGAGAAGACCACGGCATTGATGTTCTTTCTCGACTTCCAGAATGCTCTCCCTTATATGCCTTTCAGTACATCATCCAAACAAAAACACATCTGTTATCCTATTTACATACTGCTGTAAATCACACATGAAAGGTTGAGGTCTTGAGGTCACAAATGGTCCTTTGATCTGACCCTGTGACTGTGACCAGATTATTATCAGTCATCCCCCTACCATAACATCACTACGACGGAGTATTAGGGCCAAAAATAATTTTATTTTTTTTGGAAATTACGAGAAAAAAAATAATATAATATAATAATATAATAATATAATATTACGAGAATAAAGTAGTAATTTTATGAGAACTGTCAGCCTGTTGGCTCAGCCAGCAAAACTGTTTAACGACGAAATTATCAATACGTTAGTTTACCTGTCAACTGTACGG